GCATGCTGTAATTTAAAACCTCAGATTCTTCTGGGAAACACTTTTCATTCTGCTGTTTATATAGATATTCATATCCAGCTCTGCTAATGTCTGCTCGCCACGCTGAATAGTTAGTTCGCTAGAATTCTAAGCCGGAATGCAATATAAATAAGAGATTCAATAAGACGCTATACAATTTTTAAAAGGACAATAAAATAGAGGCAAAATAAATAACAAAACATTTTTTTTCCAACAAAGCACACACTTAGCAAGTAAAAAGCAGCAGAGCAAAAGTGTCTTATTTAACAGTAAGAAAGTCGAATCCAGAGCCTAGTGCTCCAAAAATATCTTTGTAGCTATTGATATGAGCCTCGGTTTGTTAAAATCAGGACAGAATATGGGAGAAAAGATCTCTTCTGGCTATTAGAGATGAAGAATCCTTATTAAAGTGTATTTTTAAAGTATTTATATAGTATTCAATCATTTTTTTTTAAAAAAAAATCCTATAGATATGAAATAAAGAAAGAATTGAACTCTAAAGAAAGTATGGACTTGTACTTGAGGCTGGTGCTTTCTTTTAAAACATACTACAATTCTATTATTTTTGTTTGAGTAAAAAAAAGACTCCAATATGAGATTGTGGGCACAGTAATGCCTTTCCCTTCTCAAGGTAATACACCAGGAACCCAGACTATAGGATCAAAATATATGGAATGGTGTCTTTTATACTCATCATTACTAAGTGGTCCAGTAAATGTCATAGGTAAAAACCCACTGAGAGCTCTAATAGAACCAATGGGAATCTATTGGCCCAATTCTCAGTTAATTCGTCAAGGAAAACAAAGCTGTTTCAGTTCAACAGCCTTTAGAGTCATTAGGTAGAGCTCCTAAAAATGGAAGTGAAGAATATGTAGAACATTGGTTTTTAAGGTAGTAGAGCAGCTATTTAAAAATCCAATGTTATTTAAAAAAAACACACACACACACACACACACTATTTCTCCCTTTTGCAATTCAACCTGAGTCCTTGGTAAATATGATAGTAGGATGAATTAATTTGCAGGTAACAATATTCCATATATTTCCAATTTACTAATTAACATGCACCAACAATTAAACCATTTCATGATGAGGTCCCACAGACAAGAATACTGAATAAGCAGCACTAGCAGTAATACAGAAAAAAGCTAGTTTACACAAGTTAAATATGCTTCAATTGAAAAGACAGTATCATAAATCACGCAATTATTAAATTTGCGGATGACACAACAGTGGTGGGGCTCATTAATAAGAACAATGAGTCTGCTTACAGAAAGGAAGTACAAGGGCTGACATTGTGGTGTAAAGAAAATAATCTTACACTTAACACCAAAAAAACTAAAGAACTTATAATTGACTTCAGGAGGAAGAGAGATGTACATTTACCATGGTACATAAATAGTGAGGAGGTGGAGAGGGTTGGTAGTTTTAAATTTCTGGGCATTTATATTTCAAAGGACCTCTCATGGACTATGAATGTTAACATGCTTGTGAAGAAGGCACATCTCAGCATCTACTTCTGTCCTACTATTGCAGCACCATTGAGAGTGTCCTGACATACGACATTCTTGCATGGTACGGGAGCAGCTCTGTAGCGGACAAAAAAGCTCTATAGAGAATCATTAAAACTGCCCAGAATATCATCAAACTCCAGCTACCAGCCCTGGATGACATCTTTGCTGTTTGAGGAAGTTGCATAACATTCTCAGAGACTCTTCCCATCCTGCTTACAATCTTTTTGGACTGTTGCCTTCCAGCAGAAGATACAAAACAATTAAAACTCGGACCACACGTTTTCTGAATAGTTTTTATCTCAGAGCTATAATTGCACTCAACAATGAACTAAAGGGCCACCATCAGTGAGCTGCATTACTTGGTCTGTTGTGTAGATGTTTGGGTGGTTTAAGGGTGGGGAATTGTGCTGGGTGGGAGTGTGTTTGGGGATTGTTATGCGTGTTGGACCTGGTCTTTGGGTGTTAAGTGAATTTTGTTGTATAGGTATACTGTGTATACACAGTATACCTATATTGTACAATGACAATAAAGTTATTATTATTTTTAAAACAGCAGAGGGTAACTACGTTTTTTTTTTAAAAAATAGACTTTTGTGCGTGCGCTCACATTTTCGGTGCTGGGCAAACCGGTAGGTAAATTATGTGAATCCCATCTCTGTAAAGCACCCACATTTTAATAACATAGTTAAAGATGATTTATTGGTGGTGCATTTCTCAACCAAACATACCAGAATGCAAAAAACAATTCAATGCCATTTTCTACATATGCAGTCCCATTACAGCCAAGAGAACTCATTCTACTGAGTCAGTGATTACTGAATCATTCCCATAATTCTAACAATCAAGTTTATTTTATTCCTGAAATGATGCTAGGATTTTTAGATACAACTGAATATTGCTGACTGACCATTTATGAAATGATACATACATCCAGATGTCTGATAAATGATGTCACTGCTTTTCCCTTGTTTCTTTTAAACTATATTTTGTAACAACAATAAGGCACTGTCTATCATGTATTTCTCGGGGAATATAGCCCTTCTGGGACCGATAAAGTTCCTTTGTCTTCATTCAACCTTGTAACTCTGCATGAGATACTATATATAGCTGGAATACATGTGTCTTCATGTGTACTATGTAATCCCAAGTAAATTGTTCATCCATTAAAAAAAGAAATTACTGTTTAAACACATTCAAACTTTGTAGCATTCAAACAAACACCTGACGTAACATATGAACTCAATATTCATCACAAAGGAAAAGATTGAGTAATGAAATCCTTCATTAGTCGGATATCACAGGATAGTTTCTATTGAACTGGATATCTCTCAGGTACGGTACTAGAGCTTTTTTCAGATAAACAATGTGACTACTTTCATCCGTTTGTTTCCATACTCAACTTTTATGAAAAAGAAATATTGTGCCAATTACCAGCAATAAAACTGATGTTTAGTTTTGTGATTGACAGAATACACTTTATGACCAAGCAACTTTATCTTCAAATGCAGTGGGAATAGATGTTAATAATAGCATCAAGACTTGATTTCTCAAGAGTATTTCCTATTCCACTAGGTTGATTCTTCCAATACTTTTAATACATTGGGTTATGTTCAACATGTAATTTAACGATTAATTAGAGTACAACACATTAAAAACTAGATGTAGTGCAAAAAGGTAAATAAAATTGAATTGTATGAAAATTGAAAATTTTTGGAAATGCAGCCACAAGGCATTCCTAAAAACCTGCTTTGGATTGTAACTGTAAGAAGGGCTACTCATTAAAGCAGCCATATCTGTTCTTTTCAGAATGAAGTAAAAGGTCAGACTGCCTTCCTGACGTCTTGTAATGCTTTGAATGTACAGTATGCATATTCAGCTCCATGGATTTAGGAGCTAATGGGTAGATTTTGAAAGGATTTCACACAAACCTGGAGCTAGCCCCTGGCCCATTTTTCTTAAAAGTTTCAAGTCCATAACCATGTTAACTACTGAGACTCTGCCTGTCATATCCTGTTAATGAAACTTTGACTTCCCTTTGTTCTGACAGCAGCAAACAGCTGCTTGTAAATGAACCACTGTCTCTGGGCTGGCTCCCATTATGCCCTGCTTTTGTGTTTGACAAGGTCACTTGCTGAGGGGATTTTTAAGGAAAAAGACTCTGCAGTTTACAGAATTAGATTTAAACCATAGACAACCCAGTTAAAATATTTTTTCCCCTAACGCATCAGCAAAGTGGGAATAATGAAGAAGAAAAATCTCTCTGAGCAAGTCATATAGTTTTTCTCTTCTAGTAGTGACTTCATAATTCTAACAATTATTGTATAAAAAACAAACCATGTTTTCAAATCAAATTTGTATGAAAGTTTGATTGTTCAGCAGGATTAACAAGAAATATTAATGTAATATTATTCATGTGGTTGTCATTGTTGACACACGATTCTACCTAATAGCAGCCATAACAATGTGAAAAGTTTCTTTTTTCTAGATTGAAAAAAAAATGTTTTCAGGTTTTGTTTATTTGTTTTAAGATTGGGCCAATTTTGTTCAGAAGAACTAGCTCCCTAGCCAAGTCAAAGACTATTGTAAACAAAATTATTAAACTGGTTGACTTTATAATGGATTGCAGACTTTTCAAGGGATGGAAAATGTGTACTTCTGGAATCTGTTCTTGAGATAACTAAGACTCCAGCCAAAGTTCACCAAAATTGTTCAGATGTTATATATAGAACTAACCGTTATTAGATTCTAGTTCCCACCAGAGTTTGACCTATGATCTCAGGGTGAACAAAAAAAAAAGTGGACATTATGGTACGCAGTCCTTTTGTTTGAACATTGTCTTTGAAGCCAGGCATGAAGCCAAGAATGAATGGAAAGTATTCTAAGAAATGGAAGATATGATACTGGGAGACATCCTGTGGAATTTGCACGAATGGGTTTGAGTAGCCCATATTCAACATTCACACAAATAGAAGAATGGGGATGAGCTACTTTAAGCATTCTTTTGACTTCTTCATCATTGACCATTCAAAACAATGAATAGAGATAAGTCTCTACTAGTCATTCCTCATATAACTCCAAAAGGCCACTATTATGGTATTTTGTATCTCAAATTGAATAACCTTTCAGCTCTTCATAATACAGTATTAGTCTTTCCTGTTTAATGCTAATTAATGCAAAAAGGAAAAAGGGGGTGGGAAAATTCCTCTCTCACATACACACAGAGACACATACATTCTCTTTCTCTCTCTACCTCCCCTCCCCACACACATGAAATTACTAGGAATGAAGATTCATTCTATTTTATAAGTTACACAACAGAACAACCTAGTGTGTATTATTTCCCTTTACATCTGTCTGAGGTAAATGACAAAATAAAACCATGACTATGGAATGTATGCTTCAATTGTAGGCCTTTCATTACCACATTATTATTATTTTCTTTTAAGAACAAGAACATGAAGTTTCTACCTGCTGTTAAGGAACTAGATGTTGTGGAAGGAATCTTGGGAGGACTTGATTTTCCTTGGGAATTCCAGCTAAGAATATCTACCTTTGAATTCTAACATTGCCATTGTTCTCTGTAAGATTCCCTCTTGGCAACGTAACAATAGCTACAAATCCATTAGATTACGAGATTCCTGCAGTTCATTTTCAATCCAACAAGCATAACAAGCTTAGAGGCAGTGGATGACACTATAAAGTTTTTAGAAAATATCCTGTCCAGTGTATCCCAATTCCAACCTGCAGTATACCTCTGAACAATATGGTGATCCAATTATAAATCAGAGTTTCACTTTACACAAATATCTGAATATTTCTATGCAACAGAAATATCACAAAACTGCATTGTTCCAAAACAGGAAAAAATAGTAGTTTCACCAAATGTGCAATTTAGATTTTTTTAAGAATTCGAATTTAAGAAAAGTGCAGAACAAACAGAAACATTCTCTTAGCTTTCTTTTGGGCTAGAGGAATATACATTCTACTGCCCTATCTTGGTTAAATAAAATAATTGTTTTTTCCCAAGAATACTTCTTATATCCAGTCTACATACACTGCCTTTCAACCTTTAGGCAAAAGCTTGAGCTTGGCTACTAACTGTATAAACAGTAAACTCTAACTTTTCTCTATTATTGCTGCACTGATAATCCAAAGTGCCAACTCCCTACGTGCTACTTGGCTCAACACCCTATAGCCGTGATGGCGAACCTATGGCACACATGCCACAGGTGGCAAACAGAGTCATATCGGTGGGCACAGGAGCTAAGTTCCGGCGCACATGCACATGCCGACCAGCTGATTTTCAGGCCTTCTGGGCCTACTGGAAGTCAGCAAACAGGCCATTTCCAGGCTCTGGAGGGCCTCCGGAGGGTGGGGAGGGCAAAAGGCTCTGGAGCCTGGGGAAAGCAAAAAACGGCCCACCGTGCCATCAGTGCCAAAAGCGGGGGAGCATGGGGGGGTCACGCACGCATGTGTGAGGATTGGGGTGCATAGAATTATGGGTGTGGGCACATGCACCACCACCCCCCTGCACTCCTCCCACTTTTGGCCTGCAATGGCAAAAGCCCTATAGGATTGCCTCCCCTAGTTAGGTATGACACTTCCTGTCATTTTCTCACAGAGAACAGGTTTAAGGTTCCAAATCTGTGAGAAGTAATATATGGGTACAAAACCATGCCACACATTCTCACATTCCCTTGTTTCTGGATTATCCTCCTCCGGAGATGTAGGATGCTTCTAATCTCCTGAGCTTTAAAAAGGTTTGAAGACTGGAGGACAAACACTTTCCATGTTTCTGCATGTCTGGGGAAGTCAGCTCGAGTGGTTATGTCCCATATTCTCTTAATTAATCTGGTTTTGGCTTTGCATATCTAATATTCACTGAAACCAGCTCTAAAAAAATTCCTCCTCCCTTTTATTGTTTCTGTACTGTTTTGATTATATTCATTTCAATATGTTGAAATGTTGGATCCAGTTGAGATAATTTTCACTTCCTACCTGTCAGTGTTGACAGAACCAAACCTTGTATTCCAAGATGCTGACCTTAAATTTATTTATTATCATTTCAATAAGAGCCTAATTACAATTTATGACATAGGAATTCACATTCCAAGAGAAGTCTATTGAACATATATTCTCTTTTTGGAAGTGTTGACAGCATCTCGGACATTGATCTATTCTATCAAAAAGATATGTAGTTTAAAATATAGATAAGAGGTCTATGTAGTTCAATTAAACACTGCAAGTTACAGAAGAAATACAAGTCTTACCTTTTGAGTTGTCTTTACAAGTAGGCAACAATGAGTTATAACTACAATACTTTGTTCTTGTTTTAATCACAATCCCACAGGTGGTTCTGCATCATGAATTTAGCCAACATAATCTTGTAGGTTAACAAAGGCAGATGTAGATTAAACTCATTACAGGCTTTATCATATGGGACAGCTGGCAAAATATGTTTTTTAAATGAGTAACAACAACCTTCTCTCGTCTCTCTGTCTCTCCTAACACTCTGGATGAACATATTTGGAATGTCTGTAAAAATGATGAATTGCTGGGTTCACAACAAAAGAAGGTTGGATTCAAAATTAAAAACCAAATCTCCAGCTGAATTGCATTCCCATTGTAAAAGGAGCATTGCTAGCAAAATTTGGAAAAAAATTCTTTAAAAATTAAAGAACTATCCCCAAAGGTTTATTAATGTGTGTTAGTTCTTTAAACTGATTTTGGCTCCTAATTAAAACTTTTAAATTAGAACCATTGTACACCGACTGAGTACCTGACTGCCCACGGAGATTAAAATCATGATGCAATTCCAAGGACATGTAAATCCCACTAAAACCTGAACTAACACTAGACCAAAGTAGACAAACCCCCAATGCTTCCTGTCAGTCAGGAAAATCTATTTAATAAATTTGGAGAATAAATTTATTATCATACTGTTTAACTACTGTGAATTAAGGGCACAATATACTAGTAAGCAACATAAAACTGTCTCATTCTTTTCAAAATGATTTGTTCTCTTATTCTACCCAATTTAAAAAGCCTCCCAAATACTGTTAACATTCATTTTTAACAAAAAAATGTCCATGAATTTACTGTCCATTCCTTCCATATGTTCAAAACATTGCTATAGGTGTGTGTGCACATTCTCACATTCACACACAATCCTGTTTTATCATATTCAGTTAGAATCCCAGTCAGTTTTATGTGCATTTTTTCAACAATGCTGAATACACTGCAAGACGTGAGGAAATGGCATGGAACCAGTTGAGTGGCTCATATCTCTTGTTTGGGTTTCTTGAATATACGAAGAGAAAGCTAAACATCCTGATGTTACATTAGAACACATTCACTGCAATTCCATTCACAATGTATTTCTATTCTCCAAATGTATTTAAGTAGCTTCATACTCCAGCTGCAACTAACTATTCAAGAAACCTTGACCTTATAACCCTTCCTTGCATGGTTAAGCCTGTTACATGAAGTGAATGTGTGTGTTTGTGTGCGTGAGAGACAGACAGACACATACACAGAGAGAGGGGGGGAGAGAGGAGCAGGGGAGAGAGAGAGAGAGAGAGAAAGAGGGAGACAAAGAAATCTTAAGAAATGGGAGAGAAACAATGATTTGCTGCTACAAACACCACCTTACAAAAACACTTCACTAATTTTATTAGCAGAAATATGTTTCTTAAAACAGTGCAATATTGCAAACAGTATGATATCTTTGTATCTGCTTCAACTTCAATATCCACCTTGTCAGTCCAGGAAGATTTTGAAGGATCAAAATGTATGAGGAGAGATATCTATTTCCCTTTCCACCCACCTTTCATTCCATATCCCCAAAGTATCCAAGGCATCCTTTTTCCTTCCTGTACTGGCATCAAACAGGCCGACCTAGCCTTTCCTGAAAATAATAACGTATATTGAAACCGTTGCAGGAGCACAGTCACTGAATTAATTCAAAACATGTAATAACGAACAGAATGCATTATATACAAGAATAAAAGAGAATTATTCTGCTATTACCCTTATTTCAAGGATAGTAACTTTGGTCTGGTTTATTCAAAATGGCATTTGATTTGCTTTTAAGCCAGACTCTTATCAACAGCACTTGGTGTAAAACTACTGCGGTAGCTGACTCCACTATGAACTTCAGAATCCACTGCCTTGCTAAAGATTGCCATGAGGGGGCATAGAATAGACAGCTAACCTGCCTCTTTTTCTCTGATGCTGCAACTACAGAGATAACTGTTCCTGGAATAAATTTCCTTTGAGATCCAAGGATTTCCTTTGTATTATGCCTGTTTTTCTACAACCAATAACAAAAATTTCCTAGCAGACCTTAACTCAGTAATGACTTTGGGCCAGGGTATCCAAACACCGAAAATCAGAAATAAAACTTTGATAACTAACATGTGAACTGGGAATACCTAGCAAGTGCTTGAAAAGCTTGCCAGTCAATTGTACTTTAACTATACATCTCTTGTTTATTTCCAGCTTAATATTTTCAAGATATTGCAAGCACGGGACAAAAGAAGGTGTGAAACTAATATCTGTCATTTCCAATATTATTTTGAAGAGTTGGAAATAACAGTGAATCTTACAGAGGTTAAACTCTTCTTGAAGTTAAGCACTTTTCCATTTCAGTCCAGTACAAGAATAACATAAGCAATACTTCATGCCAACTTTAGGCACTGCCCTATCAAACTGCAATAAGTACTGTGTATATCAGATGCCTTGTTTTATGACCTAAAGCTAGCAATACAATCCTTTCTAGGCGCAAGGCAAGAATGAAGTTTAAAAAAATCAGATTTTAGTAAACAAAACAGTCTATTTACCAAGCTGGCATGAATTAAGCAAAGAAACCAGAACCAAAAAAGTTTTAAAAAAAAACAAAAAAACCTGGTAGTTCCAGGAATTTGGTTACATGGCAAGGCAGGGGCTGAACTACAGAGGTGAACCTCTAAAATTTCAAGTTGTCTGTAGCAATGAAGACCTTTCCAAGGTCATGCCTTTATATGGAATGGAGAGCTGCTTTCTTCATAGACGCTTGTACATAAAAGCTGGCAAAATTGTCCTTAAATCTGACAAGCCTTGGCTTTAAGCAAGCATTACTTCTCAAGCTATATGTTTTCTATACAATTTTTAATTCTCTAGCGCTTGGAGAAGATCGTCAATGACAAAATTGCAAAACCATCGTGTTTGCAGTTTGTCAAAGACTATATTTCTACCATAAAAAGAACAAAACACTTTATAAGTGAAGAGCTAAGGATGCAGTACCTGGAAAGGCTGCAAAATCTTTTTGCATCAAAAGGCCACTATAAACCAGCCTTCCTCAACTGCAGTCTTTGCAGGTTCAATCCCCGAGAAAAATAATTGGGATACCAGATTAGGAAAGGCTGGGTGATTCCTCAACTAATGAGGAAAACGTATGGCAGGCTCAAAATCCATGAGACTGTGACAAGCTGCAAACAGTACACAAAGTCCTAGAAAATAAGGAAAATATATAGTTTGAAATCAATATATGTGAATGC